CAGGGGGCGGGGATTGGAGTGCAGACACATTGTCAGGGGGCGGGGATCGGAGTGCGGACACATTGGCAGGGTGCGGGGATTGGAGTGCAGGCTAGCGATGTGGAGGGAGCGGGGGAGGGGCATCCAGGAATAGCCGCCCAGAACTGGTGTCCCCCGAGTGCGGACATTTCCTCTTACCGTGTCCACTCCTCCCGCCATCAGTTCGGTGACATTGGCTTTGATGGAGTCCAGTGGAAGCTCGGCCTGTAGTAGGAGCTCCGCCATTATTCCCGAGTACCCTCTCTCCTGACCCAGACAGAACTCCTGGTAGATGTTCTGGATACACCGATCCGCTGCAGGAGAAGGGGGAGGGCTTTATGTACAGAGCAATATTCTGCATTCTCCTCCTCAGCCACCAGGTGGATCCTCCCCCTCCCCCCGCCGGATCCCCTCAGTAGAAGAAGCCTGTCTATAGAGCTCAGCAGCTAAAGCTGAACTGTATGTGTACAACTAAGTCAGAACAGTGACTCCTCCCCTACAGAGCAGTGACTCCTCCCCTACAGAACAGTGACTCCTCCCTTACAGAACAGTGACTCCTCCCCTACAGAGCAGTGACTCCTCCTCATCAAGATGATGGCTCCCCCCTCCAAAGCTATGACTCCTGGCCTCAGGAGCAGTGACTCCTCCTCTGTAAGGCAATGACTCCACCCCTCCAAAGTAGTCACTCCTCCCCCTCATGATCAGTGACTCCTCCCCCTCTCTGCCTGTACAGACACCTCCATCCTGTTTCAATCAGAGACAGAGGTCCTAAAAGTGGGGAGAGTCCTAGGGATAGAGGTGGGACCTCGTCTGTCCATGGAGGAGAGTCATAGGGATAGAGGTGGGACCTCGTCTGTCCATGGAGGAGAGTCCTAGGGATAGAGCTGGGACCTCGTCTGTCCATGGAGGAGAGTCATAGGGATAGAGGTGGGACCTCGTCTGTCCATGGAGGAGAGTCATAGGGATAGAGCTGGGACCTCGTCTGTCCATGGAGGAGAGTC